TAAATCCATGGAGCCAGCTCCAACACCAGATGCCAGCAAAGATTCAGTGCGAGTGGGCCTGTTTTTAAATGGTCATCAGAAGGGCGAGCAGACAGTAATAATACCAGTGACTCATTGCAGCAGGACTGCTAGCCTCCTGTCAAGCCTGAGTCCAAGGTGGGTTCTAGAAATAGAAGGTAGACCTCTGCATCACCTTGCTTCCTATATGTACAATAGCATGAGTATAGAATTTAACATAAGAGTTTGTCAGGCCTTACAAGTTTTGGGAATGTTTATTTATAGCTGAAGACATAGAAAATAACGAGGTAATACTGATAATTTTGATAATCAGATTACATCAGGAAAGTTTACTAATGAAAATAGAATTTTTTAAATTCACCAGTTGTGCTACATTAGTGCTTACCTCATGTGTGCTATTGATTTTTAAACATCTTAACGAAAGTGTTCAAAAGGACTGACTCACCAAAACATCTTGAAAGAAGAAACAGTTGCACACCAGCTCTGAGAAACACAGCATCGCCAAGAATAGACAAAGACAATGCGTAAATACAAACTGCAGTCTTGGTTATTTTATTTATAAAGGGAAAAATATCAATACCAACTTGAGCCTATGTGAAAAATAGTAGAAATAATTTTAAATAACGTCTTTGTTACATTTTAATATCGCGTATTACAGATGTGGAGACAACATGGAACAGTTTAACTTTACCATCAGTGGTGAGTGTATTAAGGTTACTCCAAGAGCACTTCAACAACTTAAATAGGAGAGCACAAAAGAATTCACTAAAACATCTAAAGTGCTTTTGATCTTTCCAACATACTGTCATGCAAAGTTTGATTGAATGTTTCAATTGTAGAAACATTACAAACGACCACACACCTGAGAACAATAGAGATGGTTTTCTAGAATGTGTTGCTATTGGGCAAATTGTAATTGTTCTGTCATATCAACTACTGTAGTATTAGCAATGTAACATGCTGTCTGGAGATGTAGAGAAAGAAATGCAATTCTAATGGGTGCAGGAAGGGCCATGGGAATATCCTGGAAGACATCGACCATGGAAACAGCTCAGATCAGTTATGTGACTTAATGTTTACCATGTACAAAAGCATTTGTGGATACACAGCTACTATAGCTTATAGTTTCCTTCCACATATATAGTTCTTATTTGAGATAACAGAGCAAAAGAGGAAAAATATGCAAGGTGTGGGAAAAAAAAATAGCACTTAAATTGTTTGATTCAGATTGTTTAATTCAACTTCTAATCAATGCATGACACACTGCTAAACTGACCACCTGAGATTAAATAATTATGAAAACAGTCCTATGTGTTGAACAAGTTTTGCATAATTTTTTCTTTTGTTTCATCTTAAACATGAAAACATACTGACATGTAGCGTTAAGTTATAAAACATAATTTCTGTTGCACTTAAAGAGGTGCAGGTGTTGACGAAATTGTTGGCACAGTAACAAATACAAATCATCTCAACTCACCTCTTCTTTGCATAATTCTCACTTTATTATTAGAACACACTCTGCATTCAGGCAATCTTTCACCTTGTCCTCCTCCTTTTCACGGTGCTCTTCGGCTATTTTTTTCTCTTGCTTCATCCTCTTTATCAACTTCTCTCTCTATATTTTTTCCACACACACTTTCTGATCCCTTTGCTTTGACCTTCTAGTTAAGCCAGCACACATTCAGGCCTCCCCCAGCCTGTGACATCAGAGCCGGTCAATGTGCAGAAGCAGCACCTGTCTACGTAGTGATCCAGTGCTGGCTGTATACCTTTGTTTCCGCTCTCCTTCATTGTCTCTCTTTAAGTGGCGAACAGAGATGAATTTGCTGATAACATCACCTTTAGATGCCTGTTCTCATTTTGATGAAACCTGTAGTGAAATATGTGGCCTTGGTGACTGCGGGGGTTTAGTGTGCGTATGTATGATTTTCATGAGTCGGCACATTTTCAGCACCTAGGAAATGACTGAGCACCTAATGCACTTTCAAGCTCCTGCTGCAGGAGAGTGTCTCCATGCACACAAACATGTTAGATTTCAGTTATGGATTAAACTAGGCAAATCCTACCTTCAATAATATAATCTGAGTTTATATTTAGAATTATATATAGCATTTACAAAATGCAACCCTGATTTAATGCCTTTCTAATCCAAATATATGTTGAAACTACAGGAGAGGCAAATCATACATAGCAGGAAATTCTTATCAAATCTTTACTTTAAGCCCCCTGTTCTATTTCTAGTAATTTCTAAGTACCATTTTTTTTATGAGCAAGGACAGTTTCTGAGCCTTCTCTGTATCATCACAGCAGCAAAAAAATAGGCAAACATGCACATGAGCAGGACACTAATGAAGACTAGTTCCCAAACGGCTGCCTAGGTTACACTAGAGATCTGTCTTGAAGTTGGCAGACAACGATGCCTGTGAAAGAGTTTTGAATCTGTGCATACTGTTAGCATGGAAGAGCAAAATGTTCAAGGGTTTAAAGGTGTTAGACCATCAAAATAGACGTAAAAACCATCAGTGTAATTTGTCAGGATCACAAAGACCAGACTGACCACAAATCTAGATCAAATTCTTTTAAATATAGACTGTGCTCCATCACATTGCCTTTTACCCCATGAGCTTAAAATCTGACTTATAATAGAAAAGTAGCGTGAATTATAAAAAGCCCAAGAAGTATGTTTGAACTTTTTGAGTTAAAGGCAAAAAGAAATATTTTTTATACAAATCTTGATCCAGAAGTACAGGCTAACTGCTGTTCAGTGGCAATTTCTTATTGAATACAAGGGAGGATAAACCAAATGTATTTTCCATTCTGCTATGAAGCAGCAGGACAGATGTCAGTCTCTACTAGAAATCCCCATTGAGGCTCTAGCCTCTTTATATTGAGGCAAGCAGTAAGAAAGAAGGCCCTGATTGAATACCACGTCGAAATACGTCACTTCCAGTGATGCATAGCCCCTTAGGGGGTCTATGGAGCGGAGGCTCGTCTTGAAGCTGGCTGTTCAATGTTCATTGGCAGAACACTACTTTAGGAGTTTTGACTGACAGTGACCAGACAGCGGGGAGGTTTTCCTCATGAGACTCAGGCAAGACAGAAAAAGTGATCATTTGGTAAGAACACTAATCTTTGATAGAACTCTTAACACAGTTTCTGGACTTTATTATTTCAGAGGGCTTCAAAACAGCTATTTTTTGCTGTTGCAGTGGTGTGTTCAAACATTTGTTAATGCAATACGTTATGTTTGGATTTCATTAACACTACTGAGCCTCCTCTGCTTCAGAGAGCAGCAGCTGCCATTGTTGAAGTTTAAACATAAAAAGTTTCTATAATGGAAAAAATCAAAAATGTGTTAATATGTACAAATGAACAAAATGCAACTGGAGTGAGAAATGTTCAATAAATATTTACAGTGAATGATATAGGGAGAGTGACAACCTAGTGGTTAGGGCATAGAGCTTGGAATACTAAGGTTCTGAGTTCGAACCCCACTCCCACAGACTGCCACTCTGGGTCACTGAGCAAGACCTTTAACCCCCCTTTGCTCCCCTGGTGCCCCACAATGGCAGCCCACTGCTCCCCAAGGGCAGGGGTTAAATGCAGAGGTAAATTTCTCCAATATGAGATTGATAAAGTTCAGTTATTACTATTAATTGTTATTATTTAATGTTTTCTAGGTTTACTATATTAAAACTAAGATCTTTGTTAACTGTTTACAAAGAGAGTTTATGACCATGTGATACCTACAGTAAGTATGCACACTTCTCTGCAAACCAATCATGCTTGAAATAACAATAAAAGCAGTGCCAACAATGGGTTCAATCTGACACTTCTTTCAAAGGTAACTGTCTATATTTAGCAGGTAATGGCAACTCGACTCAACAGCTTCTAACATGCTGCATTGTTAATGAAAAGCTCAGATGGGTGTGAAATATGTCTGAGTTTTGAAAGACCAGATCCAACAGTGGGAGCACTTTTAAGCTTGAAATGTATTCACATAACAATTAGCTGCTATTTATACAGACAAATATTCAGTAATTAAAAGTCCTGTAATATATATGAGCATTTGATAATTCAAATCTGGGAGAGAAGGAATGATAAAGCCAATGCTGACCCATTCCCTGTTATGATCCAAGTCAGGAGGTACAGTACTCAAATTGCTGTAATGACTGTGAGATACAGGATTGAATGCAGAACAAGCATGACATAATGAGATGAAACAAAGCTAAGAGAGGAACAGCTGCTGCACAGTGTGATGTACAAACAGAAGCATCCATAAAGCAGGCATACATAGGAGGCCACTGGACATTTGGTCCCTTTTTCTAGAGTCATATTGACACCAACCATGAGTCTTTGACAATTCTCGCAGTAGAGCAATCTGTAGTTGGAGCACTGGTGTTTTTAAGCAACATGGAGGTCCTTCTTTATAAGCACATTCTAAGTCAGGTGCAAATCAAAGACACAGCCATCATTCTTCTGGGTTTCTGGAGTCTATACCTGTGTACTGTATAGGTTGTCTATGGCAGTTTCAGTCTGCAATTCAAGCCTGTTTTACGGTTGCCATTAACCTGATGATTGTGAATGACTGAGACAAACAGCAGCTTCATTTTTTTTATCCTCCATTGTATGTCTCATTGATTAAACATGTCGATCAACAGAATCTTATGCAGATAATAGCATAGTGAGAGGGGTGCACAATAACCTTCCTGTACTGGAGGCACTGAAAAGATTTAGACACAGATTTCAGCCAGGTTTTACTGGAAGTTTCATGTATGCTGTTAATGTGAATGCTGCTGAGTTCATATCGACACCATCTTGGTTCTTCAAACCCAACTGCATGACCTGAATACACAACCAGCCTATGATCTAGTTGGTGAAGGTCTGTGATATGAATGGAAAAACAGTATCAAGCCAACAGCATGACAGAAATCAACCTTTTAAGTCAACCTGCTTAAGTTCATTATCACTGTGAGTTGTACCTTTGTCCAGTGAGGCATCTGGAGAGTTAAAGTCCATGAGGCTGCTTATTTCAGTCTTGTAGCAGAGGTCAGTGGTTGGGGTTTTTTGCATCCGTTGAGGAGAGGGATCTGTGTAAAAGAAGCAAACAAAAGTTAAAATTAAGAGTTAGTTATGACTGTCAAGAGCCTGGAATATATTTCAGTAGGATAATACAAAGACAAAGAACTTATCATTAGGTAAAAATGACATTTCTGAGGGGAACTCAATATGTGCATGCCTCTAACCAAGCATGTTCTGGAGCTGACATGATTCTTCCTACCCACCACAACAATCAACTCAACAAAATCTCCCTCAGTGCTCACATAATGAATACCCTATACTCAGAACCCAACACAGCCTACTATTCATTAACACAACTACTAGCACTAGGGAGAAATGAAATGCCCTAGACAAAGTAAAAGCATGTAGGCTTTTACTGTTGAAGGTACTCTAGACTACGGTAATATAAATGTAGCTTCTTTTTTAATGAACACAACATAATTGGATTTCTGGTGGTGTTCAAAGGTTTCACACATTGTTTCAAACTTCAAGAATACTGAATTACTTTTGATCAGCCAAAAGCAAAGTGCTGCTTTTTTTTTTTTTTAGAATAACCCATTTATTGGGAAAACTAGATAGAAGATGAAACATTTTGAAACTTTTGCATAATAATTATAAAAATAAATCCCACTATAGAACATTTATAGCTGCATCTCCTTCACTCAAGTTCTATTACCCACCTATTAGGATGCTTTTACAGGCTGAATTACTTACAGTAATTGAGCACAGATGTGTGCTTAATGAGGGCTTTGCTGTCACTACATTAGCAAGCTTACTCTTTTAAATATGAATTATAGGGCTGCAAATAAAAGTCTGTCTATAGATGGGTAATAATGAAGTAGACTTCCAGATTTTTTTATTCTCTATAAATGTATAAATTCTGCAAGTCTATGCAGCCTTTGGCCAGAGAAACAAACATGTCAGTTTATTTTTTTCCTTGAGTAATGTTAAAATTCACTCTGCATATTTTTCTACAGATTCCATGGAGCTGCCTGATAGTCTCATGAAAAATATTTTATCTGCCTAGGATCAAGCCTTGGACAAGCCCTCACAAACATTTACAGTACAGACTCAAGGGAAAGTTAAAAAGCATATGTGGATAAATTAAGTGAAATAGGAAATCCATGAAGGCTGCTGTTTAATGAAAAAAAAGAGAAGCTGGTACAGTATGAGCAAACACAAAAGAGTAGGCTCAGGTTAAAACTGATAAGTAATAAAATATTCAAACAGAATAAGTGTTGCTTGTCTCTAAAACTACATTTCTTATTGCTTGAATCTTTGCTTTTATAGAACATGTCTCTGCAATGTCACCACACCTGACCTTGCATCAATGATCATTTGAAATCCCTTTGGAAGTCAAGTGAGGCCTGACTGACTCCTACAGTCTTCAGCTCAGCAGATTTAAGTCAAACAAATAATGCAAAAATGCAGAAGAACCACAGAAACAATTAATAATACCATGTCTTCAGCTGCCCTGGTTCTCTGCAAGTGAAACGACACCTTGAAGGATTATTGATGATTTCCAAAAACTGAATAAATCCTGCTTTTGGATGATCTGTTAAAGATTTCAGATAAGAGGATAATTTCCTCCCCTTGCTTTCAGCTCATCTGTGCCAACAAGAAAAATGTTTTCACGAAGACAAGAAATCCTAAGAAAGACCCCAGGCAAAATATATGGATCTGCCACTAAGTGTAAAATAAAAAAGGTAAAATGAAAGCACACCAATGCGTAATTCAGATATTTTAAAGTATAAATAATCAGATTATTTCCAGGTCATACATTTTTTTTTTATAACAAGTTTAATGCAATTCCACCATTTCATTGTTTATCAAACAAATTGTAATATATCCCAGATATCAATAGGTGTATATGAAAATAAAGAATTTAAAGTGTACTTGGTTGTTTTTTTTTTATTCTGACTGTATAAATGATGATTATGTTTTTTCTGTAAACTTCAATACAGTATGCACATTTTAAAAAATAAAAACCTAATTCCATTCTAAACATCAGTGTAGGGTCCTACTCACATTTTTAAATAATTAGTATCAGCGTTCCTGATTTAAATCCTGTTGTTCCAATGTCATCTGTTTCATTTAAAAGAGAGAACAAAGCTAAGAGAGCCTGTTTTAAATACAAGTAGAAAAGGTCTAAGCACAAGCAGCAACATTCAAACAGACGCTGAATATATCTGTCAAAAAATATTAAATTTGGTAACAGAAACAGCTTTAGAGAGGTGATCATTTTTGTGTGCGGCATCACATTGAATGTATGAAAGCAGAGGTTTGAGTGAGAGCGCTGTAACATATCAATGAAATCAACAAATCTTGCAATCAAAATAAATGCTCTTTACATTAAAATTATCCCATTATAATTTATCAACCTTTCATGGAGTATCATACAGTATATTAAAATATCATAGCTGTCAAGAAATCTTCATATCAGTGTGTGTTTGGAAAAGGATTTTCGTCCATCTTTGTTTTCTAACTGCTTCTGTGTGTGCAGATTAATTAGCTCTGTTGTAGTAAGAGTAATCACTTAAGCAGATTTACACCTGCAAGGTCAAAATAATTCAGGAAATCATCAACTGATGCCTGAAAAACTGTTTTGCAGAGACAATAAAGACATTTTCTAGAATGAGTACACTGCCATTCCTGTCAAAAAGGTTGGCCTTGTAACATCTGCTGGCCAATCAAAATTGTTCTTCAAGGACCGCTTGTCTTGTGCTTTTGCATTGATGTATGGGAAACTCTCAGCCATGAGAGAGTATAAAGCAGGGAGTACAAAACTTTGTCTAGTTCACATCAGACAGAGCATTGGAAAAGACTGTATCGGTTTTCTCTGCACAAATTAAATTGCCATTTGTGATTATCAACAAATCTTTTATTTAGCCAAAGCTACACAATCTTTTTTGTTTTTTTAATTATTGAGAGGCAGCAGCAGCACAAATGTTCTGGTAAGTGGCATTAAATATAACAGTTGTTATATGTTTACCTCATTTAGTGGCTGGAATGATTATTACACAACATGCATTACCTTATCAGCCTCCTAGATTCTTTAATTTGGATCTGCTATTACCCCTAACAATCCCATAGCTTATCCTGTCATGGTGTCACTGTCGGCACTTCACAATAAAGCACAGGTGAAACGTAACAATACTGACTGCTGCTAAAATGTTCTCATTGCATAACTTTAGAATTGGTTTTGGAAGACCATCAATTTTTGAAAAAGCCCTAGAAGGGCTGAAAAAGTAGATCACTTTGGTTTAGCAGAGCTGCGTCTGTTTGACGGTCAGAATTGGCGGTAAATCCTTGTAGATCTACCCACACAAAAAGCACCTACGCTGGGGAGTGGGCAATGACAGACTGGACATAAGGATGGACAACAAACAGTCCTTCTAGAACCAACAAAAATGGCTTTTTTAAAGCCCCTTAAAACATCTTCAGAGTTTTCCCTATTTTTCCCTTTATCAACTTTATTTTCTCTTTATTCCACTTTAACGTCACAACCAATCCCTGATTGGTTGCGGCATCGAGATCTCATAGAAAAGTGAAGAATTTTAAACTTCAGAGATTACCGCTATGCTCTCTTCATGTGGTGCTGCTGTTTGACAACACCTCAGTTCTATCTAGTAGCACGAGGTGAGAGTGCAGCTGTGAATGCTCTCACTCCATGGGATTAAAGCTACTGAGTTTTAAGTTTATACATTACATTACATTGGTTTTACAAGCTCAAATTATAACGGAATGAAATGAAATGGGATAGGTAAAAAATTCCTGACTATTTGAAAAGGAAAGTGTAAATCGTGATGTGAATATAAAACACTACGTAATGCATTCATTTAACAGTGAGGGGATATAAAGTAATTTCTAAAATACTGGTAGTCAAACACTCAAAAAAAATGCTGCATTGTTTTTTTCTTTTTCAATTAATGTTTACTAATGGGACTTTATGACTTAGAACCTTATAAGTTTCCAAATAATATTATTAATGGTGATATCAATTAATTTTTTCTGCAATGTCTTGGACTGTAAGGACACAGGCAGTTTTTTGCACTGCCTGTGTCCAGCTCTACCCATGTGTTTGGACATGTGTAAAAAGTTACCTCTTTGGTCGATATAATAATATACAGAGCCGATGGTTGAGAGCAGGAGTCGTTAAGATGTGGATCTTCCCTCCATCCTTTCAGGCTTATGATGACTTGACAGAGGTTTTCATTTTAAACAGTAACAGTACTATTTTATTTGAAAAAAATCTCAACTCCTGCCTCCATTACACTTTCTTTTAACAAAGACATTTTACAGTGCAGACCATTCCACTTATAGTTAAAGCAGAAGGTTCTATCATTTTAAGAATCAACCATTTTCACTTGTTGGAAGAACATATGCATTAGTTGAAACCAGCCTCATTCACTCCATACTAACTAACAAAAAAAGAAAAACACATTAGAAGCCTTAAATACTAATCTGCTGAGATTACCAATCCATTTAAAAACAATTTTCAGGCTCAGACACAGTAAGGGTTAGGCTCAGGCTAGACTTTAACCCCAAAAAAACCTTTGACACCAGTATATACAGTAAGGAATGTATTAATGTTATGGTGTATTTGCACTAGGAAAGACTTTTGTTCCACTTGTTTTGATCCAGACCAAAAGTAGACTTTATTGTTTTCCTTTGGACCAGTTTCTGGTTAAATTGTATCTTTTGTGAGTGCACTATAACTGTGACAATCTACATCTCATTGGTCAGAGATGAACAAGACAGGACAGAGGACAGAACAAATAGAGAAAACTACTACAGGAGACCTGCATGCAGCAGCATTGTTTTGCCTATTTATGCCATCAATGCTGCAGTGCTTCAAAATCATTGAGTGTCAAGGGCAGCTCATGAAACGTAGATTTCAAGATGCATCCTTCAAGCCGAGGATAATGCTGCCAGTAAACCCACTACTGCAATGGACAGAATAACAGGTATGAATGTAATAAAATGTTTAATAGCACGACATGTTGTTGAGTCAAAGGAAATGTATGCT